ACTGACTCTATAGCTCTGAAGTAGATTCGACAACTAATAGTCGTTTTTTTTCCCACTTAAATACATTTACAAGCCCCCCTTTTTTTTAGGGAAGTTCTAAATTAGTATTATCTTTCAAATGCCGATGGAATTTAACCTTTTCATTTTTTTGGCCTGCAAATGGGACATAGTACCTTTAACAATTTAATCATTCATAACCTCACCAAGTATGTGAAAAAGATGATTTGCCCCGATTTATGTATTTTGAGAATGCGGCATATTAAATCTTACATCTAATAGTATTAAAAAAAGGCCCTGATTCAACCAGTCCAGCTTTCACTCTTGAGTTACAAAGAGCACAAAAAGCATGAAATTTACAAAGAGTATGAATAATTCTGTTGTTAGGCTAAGAACTAAATTATTCATACCCTTACCAAAGCTTGTAATTTTCTAAGTATGTGAAAAATTGATTTGTCCTGACTTGTTTTTCTTCAGAATTTGACATATTAAAAGCTTACATCTAAAAGTATTCAAAGAATTCAATCAGTTCACCTTTGATTCTTCAGTTTATATAGAAAAACACAAAAATTTATTTAGTCGTTAACTGCAGGTTTGAATTTTGAATTTTCTAAAATTTCCATTCATTTTGATACAGCTTTCGATGGGTCAGACAGACTTTGCTCAACCGATGCTCTGGGCAGTCAAGAATAAGATCGCTGTGGATCAGTTCATCATGTGCACAGACTGTGAGACCTTCAACGGCGACGTCTCGGCAGCCGACGCCCTCGCTCAGTACCGCCAGGCCATGAAGATCGATGCCAAGGTTGCCATCGTTGCCATGACGTCCAACAGCTTCTCCATGGCGAACGCAGATGACCAAAGCATGCTGGATATAGCAGGCTTCAATGGCCATGCGGCCAAACTCTTACAAAGCATGGCGCTGAATTTTCAGTGATGCATATTACATAGTTCAAAGAGTGCAACAATATTTATTATTATTATTATCATTATGTCTTGATGCTTTGATGTATGTCATTCTATTGCGATGGTGGCACACAAAAGATATCTTCCTGTGGTGCTACTGGCAGGAGACCACACGTTACCTGGGGGGCGTTTCACAAAACTTGTCATCAGTGACAAATGACAGTTTTTGTTATAAGCTACTGTAATCCTTGCATCTGATTGGTTATCAGCAGATTTGTCGCTGATTTTTGTCATTTGTCATTGAAAAAAGGCTTTGTGAAACGGGTCCCAGATCTACTCCATTTGGGTTCACATTTATGGCTATGCCAATCTAATACAAAGAGTACTGGTAACAATGTTAAAATCAGTCTATCTAAGTTTGTCATTTTTTGCAATGAAATGAAGCAAGTTTACATAAATGTACTGTGCAGTCAATTACTCTTGAATCTATTTTATACAGAATATCACTGTATTAAGAGATGAATTTTCACATGAACTTATCCCATTTTTTTCTCTTTTTTTTTCTGTGTTTATTCAAAATTGGAATAATGAATTGCTTATTGCTACTGAATTGAGTTGTTGAAATGGACTGCCGGTAGTAATCTACATTTCCTTGATCCATGCTATAGCTCCTCATTATATTGTGGACAATCTCTTACCTGAGAAGCTACAATTAAATTTGAAATCAGTATTATAAGATGAAATCTATTTTTAGATGTGATGAGATCTTATGAATAGAAATTCCTGAACCATATTAGTTTCATACTTGTAATTCAACAACAAACACAAGTGTGGAGAAAAGATAGGTTACTCTCACTCGACTATCATGGTGATGATTTAGATGCTATCATTTCTCTTGGATGCCAAAGTAATCCTTTGTTTTTATTGCAACCTGCTGCAAAGTGGGGAATCTTTTGTCTTCTTATTGACTTATACACTTCAGTTTCCTGAAACAAATTGATTTGTTACATCTGTGGCCAAAATTCTCAACGACAAAAAAGACACACAAACAAGGGATTTCAACAAACCGTTTTTTATGTTACTCATAATTTATTAGTACATTACCTTGATCCTTTGGTGTTTTTATTGGGAGGAGGGGGAAGGGGGTTGACAAAATTATGTAGTCTGAATTCAAGACCCTAGTTTATTTTAACATTGAATGAATTTTTCTTGATTTCAATGTTTCACAATTTAACACCCTCACAATGTACATGTATGATGCAAGAACTATAACAGTAATATTGAAGATGGTAAATAGTATAGTATTATATTATTGCTCTCATTATGATGATGATTATTATATTTTTTAAAATTATACATGTATTCTACAAATGCAAGGTAGAACTGTTTTGGTATAATATGGAAGGTCTCATGAAATCAACTTGAATAATTTTGCAGAGAGGCATTATAAATAAGTCATTCGACCCTCATTCCCAACTTTTAAGATACACATCCCGGATACTGACCTAACATGCTTTTTTTGTGTGCCAATGAATAGAGAGTTGTGGTTGTGGTCGATTCTACCGGTAAGCCGAAAAGTATATTGTGCCTTGTTTTGGTCAAGAAGATTTGTCAAAATATAATTCCATTTTTTTAATTTGGCTGTGCCAAGGAAGTGGATTGCTGTTTTTGAAAGTTATCTAATTTACTGTTGCATACACAGTTTTGAATAATTGACCAAAACATTTGAATTTCGTGGTCCTATTTAAAAAATTTGGATTGACGTAAAATAAAATAATGCAATTAGATTGGGCATTTTTTTTCAACTTTGAAAAACCTTTATGTAAATGATTTTTTATTAAATGATGCAGTACTTTTAATGTGTTTACTGCAAATGATAATTTTAAAAATTGCAGTAGCCTGTGAATAGTTGTTTGATATACTTGTAGATATTGTGTTTTTATTGCAGCATTATGTTTGCATGATTGATAATCAAGTTTCTTAATCTTAACCTTATAAATGAAGTAAAGTACATGTATGTTTGTAATTCAAGTAAATTATGCATGCAGGAATAGCCTGATGTCAGGTAAAGTTGATAAGTTAATCTACCAGTAATTTAACTTCTATGAGATATAGGTAATCCTACATTTTAAAACGCTTTTAAAAAGATATGCTGCAAGTTTGATGAAGAGTTTGTTATTTGTGTAGTACACAACTCACCTACATGTAGCAGAGACATATATTCACCAAGCATAAATCTTGTATTTAAATGTTAAGTGAAGAAACTGGTCATGTGACTGCATTGTGAAAGAAAAGGTGTGGAATGGATCAGAAAAAGTTGATCATGTAGCATGTAAGTATTGGTGTGTACTGCAAGGTTCTGGAGTCATCAAAATCATAATAAATTTGGCCCAGCCTTGGTAAAGTAACAAGCACTGTACACAGACAGATGTGGGTCTACACAAATGGTGTCTGCCTGCTTACCGGTACCTTGATTTCCTTATCTTTTTATGCTCCTTACTCAGCCAGTATACATTTTCTACCAAAATGGTTTGGCAAATAACATTTATTTGTAATCTTGAAGATTCAATGTAAGTTTTGTTTGATTCTGTGAGAATTCATTTTCTTTTTTTACCAGAACTCACGTATGCTATGACCATGCAATCTGCAAGACTGAATATTTTTGAGAAGATCAATCACTTTAATTCTGGATGGATTCAATCCATCCTACATTTCTAATGTACAATTTGTAAGAGGATAATGTATCTTGATATTGCATTATCATTAAATATATATGCAAATATAAGTTCTAAATTTAAGGGTGGAATTTATTGAGTTTTTTGCAGGCAAAATGAACTTATTGAAATTTGTAAGGTCTTTGCCAATTTGTGATTCATATTCAATTCCGAATTTCATTGATTGGAAATGAAACATCTGGTTTTTTTTTTCTTAACTGACTAATTTGTATGCATTGAAATATAGTTACATGCACATTGTCAAAACAATATAGACATTGCACTGTAGGACATTCTTAAAATGTTGGCTGAAAACGTCATATCTGAAGATTCTTCTTGCCAGTCTATAGTTATCAAATTTTGTTTTACAGAGATACTATGGATTTAATAACAAATGCCAATTCATATACAGTCAAACCTGCTTTAGTGACCACCCATCTACAAAGACCACATTTTTGTTCCCTTGAAACTGGTTCCTCATTGAAACATGTACTGATGGAAGCTGTTCATAAAGACCGCCTGCCTATAAAATATAACATTGGTATATGATGTACGTGAGGCTCTGAATATTCAGAATGATAAATTGTCCCAACCTCGTTTACAAGCACATGCACGCAGAAATAGGTATATGGGACTACATACACATGCAGATTTAGTGTCTGGCCCAAACCCTTTAGCTATTTATCTGTTTGAACTGTCCTTTAATGGATTTATGAAAATGATTGAACTGCACTGCACTATTCTCATCATATTTTGAAAATAAGGGCATTTTGAGAGTACGGTAATGCTTTTCAGAAGACATTTCTACGGCAATATGCTTCTAAACCGAGAGAAAAAGAATGGGAGAGTTTACAAATTATGTTTCAACTTTACAAGAACTCAACTTTTCCTTCAAGGAATGGCTAGGCATCGAGGTCATCCAAGTTTGCATATGATGGGTGGACTGTCATGTGATATATCTGATATTGGTTCATTTATCACTAGCCAATATATTTAAAGTGTGTTTTATGGGGTTATAGATTGAAGTTCTAGCAAGTGCTTCACTGCTACACAGTGCCTAAAGAAAATGAAGAGACAAGTTGAACATGATGAAAAGTGTGTGGAATATTAGCTATCATGTCATAGCAAGACTTACAAAGTTAGCTTTAGTATTTGTCAACAGTATACAGATAACAAAATCTGACATATAAATGTGAATGTTACTTTATTGTTCAAGGAAACAATACTAGATAAGAGATTAAACCCTTGTTGTGAAAACTGCACTTTAGTTTAGATATTCATTTGTGACGGATGTAGATACGTGTGTGTGAGAGAGAGGATGGGGGAGGTAAGAAAGGGAGAGAGAGACAGTACTTGAAACATACAATAAAAATACTGGTATGATTTTTTTTTCTTCAGGTTTATTCATATATTTATACACTTTTTCTCACCAGATAATATACAACGCTACACTGCATAGAGATATATCCATATGAAATTTTAATCAAATCCCCATCTTTGAATAATACAGAAATTGTGAAGATATCTCTTCCCCATCTTAACAAAATGAACCCCTCCTTTATTCTCAGTCACATTGTAAGCCTGTTGACAGACTACAAGATTGACAAAGCCCATGTACAATTCAACTATGCAAGGGAGTGAAGGGACATATTCTAGATTTAGAAGACAAAATTAAGGGATGTGGCATGAATTTTTTTTTATATAGGAGTTGGCCCAGGAAATTTCTGTTACAACTCTGGACTATAAATTGTATATAAAAAAAATCATCACATCTAAACACAAACGAACATAGGTGTATATCACAAGCGAATGAAAACTGAATGGCTAAATTGAGATGAAGATGAACTACACGTATACACTTCTTCTGGATCAAACTTTCTCATGCAAATTGAGACTGAACACGAGAATCTTTGGTTTTTAATTACATATCATGCAACTTAATGTTTAGTAAACAAAGAAAAATATTCCAGTATGAAAGAAACATGTGTCAGACAACAACAATCTCTAAGATAATATCTCATTCAAGAACAAATTCTTCTTGAAATTCAGGCAAACTATGGGTCCAATTCTGTTGCTTCGACAAATGTCCTTTCAGATCAGGAATTTTAAAAGTATAAATAAATACTACATTCTTCAAATTGGCAACACGGTGGCAAATTTGAAATCGGTTTAAAAACAAAAATCAGAATGCTTGCCTAGTGATATCATTTCCATTCAGCTGTTTTCATTTCTCTTATATGTATGAAATGATATGAACGGGTATTAAAAATGTCAGTGACGCATGCTTGATGAAAATACTGATTTCATTAGAAATCAAACACTTTGAAATGGCCCTCATCATCTCTGCATCATAAAAATCACACAAAAATACAGTGACACAAACATCGGAAAAGAAACAAATATTAAAATTAAAACAATAAGAAAATATAAAGAGCAAATAATGTTAAAAAGGCATGAAAAAGACATTGAATTTGCTTTAAAATAAATTCTGTTTACTGAATTTGAAGACTTATCACACAAAGTGTTAGGATGGTTAGAGTAATGCAAGTTAGTTGTTCCTGAGTTTGATGTAATGGGACTTCTAAGACAATTAAATGTGATCAATATATGAAACCTGTGTTTGCCTATTTTTATTATCAAGTAGGTAGTAATATTTCCATTCCTATTTGTCAAATTTTCCTAATAACAAAACCTGGGTGGTATTTCCCAAAGATCCTAAGCTGAACTTATCTCCGAGTTGGATTTAACAATTATGGAAAGCTGTTAGCATTTTTGAAAATATTTCATAAAATCTACCGTTTTAAAAGGCATAAAATGTTGATTTAAATCATTCATATTTTCTATTATAAAGGAGATTTCACGTTCTTGATGTGAAGTTTATAAAAATTCTAAAATACTTGAATTTTTGCTATTGAATATATCTTTGTTAAGGCTACAAATTGCTCTCCATAATGTTTAAGTCCAACTTAGAGATAAGTTCAACTTTAAGATTTTTGTGAAAACACCCCCATATCTCTTATCCTCATACTGTACATTGTGCACACATCCACATACTGGATCCTATCTCATCCCATACCTAATGTCTAATGTATGAACATGCACTACACAATATTATTTACAATAATTTACAAAATACTTGTAAAATATAATTATACATCTTGATATCTCTTCCCTATCTTCCGTACATGTTGTTTATAATGCAAAAGAGAAAATGTCAGGGTGACTACCGGTACATATCTTTGAATATTCCAGCCGTCAATTCACAATCATGACTCAGAGGTGAGGTGATCCAGACCATGTTTAATGGGAGAGCCATGAATAATATTGTCATAATTTAAGAGCGTATTCATCAATTTCTTGTTATTGTTAGTCACTCAAATCTGGCTGTAAAAATGGTAAAATAATGTTGAAAATACAGAAACGGTAAATATGCATCAAGTAGAAATACGGTTACATGTAAATTAAAGGCGTGGATCATGGGAACAACTGAACAATAAATACATGGATAATAGTATGATGTTCTTTATAAGTTAGGTACGTAGCTTAAAACCAGATTTTTGTGAGTGCAACGTGAGAAAGATTCAATTTATTGCAAGGATATATGAATAAGATTTACATCTTTTTTTTAAATACAAAGATTGGCTCTTTGATTTCATCCAGCCATTAACAAGCTAGTTTATTTCCAAAATAGCAATAACCATCGTGCTTCTTGTATCTAGATTTCTCACATGACAATATACGCATGATTTTTAATAAGATCAATATCTTGCTTCTAGAGGACCAGAATATAGATGTCCTTCATATTGACCATAAAACAGTGACTTCATAGTGCATTTTTTTTTTTTTACTAGATTAGCTGGATGGGATTGAAAATGAAAATACAGTCAAACCTGTCTTAGTAGCCACCTGTCCATAACGACCACCTGTCTACAGCGGTCACCTTTGTCTACCTCTAAGAAGAAATGTGTGTTATAGACCTGTTATAGCGGCCAGTATTCCCACCTCCCTTGGGTGGCCTTAATAGACAGGTTTGACTGTACATTAGGCCGATCCATGGCAACAGGTGCAGATAGGATTGTTTTAATAATCCTAATCAATTATGCCACTTTCTCTGGGTCGAACAGTCTTTATAGGATGGACAAAATGTGGAGAATCAGAGGAAATATGGAGTTGTCGTCCTGGCTGGAATCACGCGTTCGCTGTCTGGAACGTTGCGGAATAGTTTAGCCTCTCGGGTCGTGGCGTCGTTGAATGCGAGTATCGAGGCGATGTTTCCACAACGGTAGCAGTAGTTGGGGGCGCTCCACACCGTTACTAGCTTATCGTCAAACATGTACTTGTATCCTTCTTGCACCAGCTGGTGAGCTCTGCATATTAGCTTCAGGTTGTTGATGTGAACAAACTGAATAAAGAAGGCAAAAATGTAAATACAAGTTGGTGAGTAATAAGTTATGCATTAATCATACACCTGTGACCTCTTTGCACCAACTGTTTTGTTTGTTTGATGATGATTGTTGTACCCGACAATTAAGAATGCATGTATACATGCTTGTAAGTAAGCAATCATGGGACCAACGGCTTTAAGTCCTCTCTGAGGGACTTGGGTAATCAGGAATAATGCCTTACCAAAGGGCAAAAGAGCATTGACTTGGTTTCGAACCCTGGACCTCCCGGTTACAAGACCACTGCTCTACCACTGAGCCATTACGCCTCCTAGCTCTCCACATTTGCTTTAAACTCTCAAAACTCAAATGATCAGGAATTTTCTAAATTATAAATACAAATTTTGTATGATTCAAGACTACAAAAGGAAAACTTTATTCTCTTCTCAAAAACTGTTTTCAATACTGACCTCATTAGTGACCTTTGACCCAAACAGCCAGCCTGCTCCCCTCGGACTGATGGCCCATGTTTCCACGTTGTCAGGGTCCGACCAGACGAGATGTGAAGACTACACAGTCAAGGAGAATCAACATTGAACATCAAACATTGTCATTTATTAACCAACGCGATAAAATAAGTGTGTGATATCATATCAAAATTAGTATCAACTAATATCAAGTAAATTATACATTCATACACTATTTCTACAATCGACCTGCGCCATATTTATTGCGAACCTCAAAGGATGATGACACATAGCAGAGCAGATAAAATACAGGGGTGGTATTCTGAACATTGTTGTAAGTTTTGTGTTATCTTTTGTTGTATCTTCCAGAGATAACACAGCGCTAATATTGTTGTAAGTTGGTATTCTGAACATCATTTTATCCCTGTGTTATCTCTTGAAGGACCGCCTCTATCTTATCTTTGACCACTGTTGACACGCCCATATGTATGGACCCTACCAATCAAAATCTGTGTTATATAAACATGATAAGTAGGTCAACCAATAGGAATACTTTATGCCATATCTGAAGATGCACCTAGCTCTTGGGCGTAATTAGTTTTTTGAGTGCTTATTACGCGCATCATCATTTTGCGCTGTTGAATGTGGATCATGAAGACAAATCACGCTTTCACTACATTGGTTAAGATGAGAGCATTAAAATCGTCATATCCTAGCATGTAATATCTTAAAAAGTTCTCATCTGTGATGTTTCCGGTCAACACAAAATCTTCTTCTAACTCATCATTGACACAAAGTTGGTTCTGGGCAAGAAATATTGCCGCCATTATGTCACCACGAAAGATACAACAACCCCCTACCTGTTGTAAATATTGTTGTAAATACCATGCAAGATAAGATAAGATAAAAGATACAACAACTTTCAGAATACCAATTATCTCGACATATTATCTCTCGTGCGCATATGCAAATGAGGATTAAACGCCACTTTATTAATAATACGCACAATTACAAGTGCACCAAACTATGAGCGCAGGCGCGGCCAATGAGATGAGAGAAAAGATACAACAAAAGATAACACAAAAGTTACAACAGTGTTCAGAATACCAACTTTATCTTATCTCCAAAGATACAACAATATTAGAGATAACACAGGGTTCAGAATACCGCCCCAGATTTCTCATTTATATGAAATCAAATCAGTTGTCCAATACCTCAAATATGTTTGAAATTCTTAAGAATCATACTTCCACAGAGATGCCAACCTTCTTCAACAAAAACTAGATGGAATTCGACTGCGCGCAGTCGAAAATGATGCCTCCGTCATAGAGCAATTTTACCAACCAAAACAGAAGAAATTTTTCAAATTCAAGTTCATTTGTAATCCATTAACAGGTTCTCAAAATATCGTGATTACAAGCTATTTTTGCATACATAATGAGCCATGACCTTTGACCTCATGACCCAAGAATCTACTCGGTTCATTGGCTCTGCAAGATACATACATGATCTAAGTTTGGCAGGAATCCATCAATCTGTTCTAATGATAATGCGATCACAAGCCATTTTTGCATACATAATGAGCCACGTGACCTTTGACCTCATGACCCCAAAATCTAATCAGTTCATCGGCTCTGCAAGTAACATACATGACTAAAGTTTGGCAGGAATCCATCAATCTGTTCTTGAGATAACGTGATCACGAGCTGTTTTTGCATATATAATGAGCCCTGTGACCTTTGACCTTTGACCTCGTGACCCCAAACTCTAATCAGTTCTTTGGCTCTGCAAGATAAATACATGACCAAAGTTTGGCAGGAATCCATCAATCTGTTCTTCAGATAACGCGATCACGAGCCGTTTATGCTTACATAATGAGCCCTGTGACCTTTGACCTTTGACCTCGTGACCCCAAAATCTAATCAGTTCATCGGCTCTGCAAAATAAATACATGACTAAAGTTTGGCAGGGATCCATCGATCGGTTCTTCAGATAACGCGATCACGAGCTGTTTTTGCATACATAATGAGCCCTGTGACCTTTGACCTCGTGACCCCAAAATCTAATCAGTTCATCGGCTCTGCAAGATACATACATGACCAAAGTTTGGCAGGAATCCAGCAATTGGTTCTTCAGATAACGCGATCACGAGAACGGGACGTACGGACGTACGGACGGAAACTCGGACGGACGTACGGACGGACGGACAACCCGAAAACATAATGCCTCCGGCTACTTCGTAACGGAGGCATAAAAAGTATTCTTAAGAGCAAAAAACAGTATTTTAGGACAAAAAACAGTATTCTTGAAAAAGTCTCTCAACTTAACATATCGCCCAATCGAGCAGCTTAAAAAACCCGGCAGTACCACGTATACATACCCGGATAGGAGTGCGACGTGCATACATTACACGTGGGTTGTTCGCAATGTGCGCAGTTTGGGGCCCGTATCACCATCCTGCGTGCATCATTTGAAGATGTAGGTGCATAATACACTTACGACACAAAGCCCATGATCAGAAATTAAGACAAACGTCATAAAAAAAAATTTAAATTTTTTTTTAAAAAACGTAACAAAACATACAAAAAACGTACTGCCGTATTGATAGCGAAAAAACGGAACAAATACGGCAAAAACGGAACAGTTGGCATCTCTGCTTCCATGTATCACCCATTCCCATCGATGTAATCTTTACTTTTCGTATTTCAAACCTCAAGAATATTCTTTTTCTGGTCAGATTTGTCTGACAAATACACAGTAATACTGAGTTTGTAAAGGATATCACAAAATGCTCCTTTGTGTGGTATTTCCTGGGCACGTTCTATCATTCTGATCTGATCGATGGTTTTGACGTCTGGTGACAGGCCTCCGTGCACACATAGAACCTGTTCATCTATGATCTAATAAAGACAGAAAGAAAATAAAAGAATAAGTGAGCAACTTATTGTAAGGTTGATCAAGCTCTTCTATCTCTATCAAACACTCATAAAGAGTACCCCTTTACTCCTCTCAATGCATGCTTTTGTCTGTCTGTCTGTCTGTCTGTCTGTCTCCCTCCCTCCTAGTGTGGTACGGTATGTCACTGAAACAGCTCCCGTAGGACTTTTGTGCCAAAATTGGATTCATTGGGGTCAAAGCTATCAAAAATTGATGGGGTTTAAATTTTCCAGAAGACACCAAATTTCCCTATTGCGCTCTATATAAGCCATTTTGGCGCCCAATATGGACCCCCCAGGAAATGAAGGAGGGGTCTGAAAATTTGAACCCCATCATTTTTGGCCAATTGGAACCCTTTTGAAGCCAAAACAGCAACAAAAAAAATCCAAAAAATCCAAAAAAAAAAATCAATTTGGGCCAAAAAATCCTACAGGATTACATACCATACCGCACTATCCCTTTCTCTATTTTTCTCTGTCTATGCCTTTTTTCTCTTATTGATTACAGTTACAGCATTCGATTTGTGTACTACCTTATCATGTGTAATATTTAATTGGATTTAATTACAATTTTCTCAAAATATAACTGAAAACATGCAAAAATATATATATTGGACTCCATTCTATAATTCATATAATTCATTTAACCCACATTGCAATATAATAATTGATTAGGTACTTACTGCAGCAATGGTAAGAAGATCAAAGACTTTGGTACAGTATCTCCATGCATTGGCATTGCCGTATTTCGTCTGACATTCGTCTACAACACAATGACATTAAAGATAAAGTTAAGTACTGGTCATGTGATTGCATTGTGAAAGAAAAGGTGTGGAATGGATCAGAAAAAATTGATCATGTAGCATGTGTAAGTATTGGTGTGTACTGCAACGTTCTGGAGTCCTCAAAATAATAATAAATTTGGCCCAGTCTTGGTAAAATAACAAGCACTGCACACAGAAAGATGTATATGGAACCACACAAATGGTGTCGGGCCTACTTAAAGTACCTTGATTCCCTTATCTTTCTATGCTCATTACTCAGCCAGTATACATTTTCTACCAAAACTGTTTGGCAAATGATATTTACATGTATTTGTAATTTGAACATTCAGTGTAAGTTTTGTTTGTTCTGTAAGAATTCATTTTCTTTTTTTTACCCAAACTCAATTTTATTTTTAACAAAATGGACTTCACAAATCAACATATCTGTTGATGAATACTTGAAGACAAGAATGGGCGCATGTGAGAAGAGGTATGCTGCCAGTACCCCTTTGAGTCTTTGCTGAGGTTAAGGCAAAGTGAAGAATATGCCACTGAGATATTAAACAGCAACTGAACCATAAGCCTCCAAAAGGAGGAATGAAAATATCACGATGACTGCAGGTACTGCTTTCATGCGTTATCAATTATATTAAAGTGTATGCAATAAACTTAAATCGATTTATATAGCTATGCTTAGAATAGAAAACTGAATGGCGATTTTATTTCTGAGGTAAGAAGAAAATAAAATAGCCTTATAGCAAGGTATAGCGTACAATTGCGAGAGGGAAGTACCAAGAAAAATATATCTTAGTCATTAACATAATGAATATATATTATTGCCCAAAAGAGTATTTTTTCTTACCTATTTTCATTGAATGATTGTGACAAGATCTGATCTATTTTTGATGGATAAAGTTGAATTTTTATTCAGATCTTTATTGTTCTATATCTATGACTCCTTAGATTGATCAATACAGTTCTGTGAACATATAAACTTTATCCATCAAGAATAAATCATACTGTCACAACCATTTCAAGAAAAAAGAGGTAACCAAAATTTATTCAACTTTGTGGGCAACAGTGTACCATTATCATTAATTTCCCCATAAAGGGAGCTTCTTTAGGAATCTTTTCCAGGGTTGTACCGTAAATCTCTGTGTATAAGGCGCACTTTTTTTCCGTCTGGAAAAATCGAAAGTCGGGGGTGCGCCTAATACACAAGTACAGGATATTTTGAGTTCTCAAAATGCTACTTTTTAATGGTTTCCGAAAATCTCTGTGTCTCAACATGAATTACATAATGCAAATAAAGAATAGGATCTACTATTTGAAGTTAAACTACGTTCCTAATTTGAAGGGAAGAGAGTTTTTTTTTTTTTTTTTTTTCCACTTGCGATAAATTATGCCCCTTCACAAAGCACTTTGCCGGCGGAAGCTCTCCCATGTCTCCAGCTCACTTACCTGTATCATGCAGCTCACTTACACGGGGGATATCGAATCACCACTCAAAAACTAGCCTGTCTAAATTTCGGTTTGGACTCGGGAGGAAAATTTTTCTGTCATCTTTAGTTTTAAAAACAACATTGTTACTATTCTTTTTTACTTTGACTTTTTGACTGTAAAGTCATAATAAATAAAAAGTCCTTCCCAATTCCCTGCATCATGGCTTTGGTTTCCAAACGGGACTGCACAATTTGCCGATTAAGTTTGTGTCGGCTGAAAAGCAAACCCAAAAGGAAAAAAAAACGATTTTTTTTTTTTTTTTTTTTTTTTTGAATCTCAAAAATAGGGGTGCGCCTTATACACAGGTGCGCCTTATACACAGAGTTTTACGATATTCAGCGATAGATTGATTACTTGAACTCACCATAGAATCCATAGACCTGTGTAATTTGTCTGCTCTCGTGGTTCCCACGTAGCAGAACAATACGGTCCGGGAACTTAGCTTTGAGTGTGAGTAACCGGGTGAATGTCTCTAAGCTGTAGTACCCTCTGTCTACAAAGTCTCCCTGCAACAAAAAAACAATGAGACTCATGGAGTATTTCAAAATGACACCCTGAATTGGAATTCTTTTCGAACCTGTGTCGTGGTCTGATGGATACATCGTTGGCTGTGGATCACATGGTTTGTGATTAAGAGTCTTGCGGCAGAATTAATGTCCTTCGACATAAGGACTATATAAACCTAGAGCCAAGTCCAAGGGTAGAAACTATCATATTGTCAGTCTGGAGCTAGACGGGCGTCAAACAATATCATTTTATCAAAACCTAATGCCCCTTTGGCTCCAAATGGATGATATTAGTATAAAAACAAACCTACACATTCTTCAATCCCTTATTACTAAATTTTGGGTAAATTTTCATTAAAATTACATGCAGAATTCACTTGGATTTTTAAAACAAGATTCCACTAACAAGAGGATTAAAAAAAAAAAATTGTTACCATAAAAATGTAGCTTGTATCTGGGATCTGACCTCCTGTCCTGAACAGCTCTTCCAAGTCATAAAACTGCAAAAAAAGAAGGAGAAAAAACTTATACAACAATAAAATTGTAAATTGGTAAAGGTGAGTGTAAATTAAAGAGATAGAAAGATAGCAGATGGGTGAATTTGATAAATCTAAAGAAGACAAAGGCATTTAAAAAGCGTTTTTTACCGCTACTCGAAAAGAAAAAAGGCACAACATCTTAAAGCCAGTTCTTCTTATAACGATACATTAAACGAGGGGGAGGAGGAGGAGGAGGAGGAGGGAGGAGGAGGAGGAGGAGGAGGAGGAGGAGGAGAGAGGAGGAAGGAGGAGGAGGAGGGAGGAGGAAGGAGGAGGAGGGGGAGGAGGGGAAGGAGGAGGGGGAGGAGGGGGAGGGGGAGGGGGAGGGGGAGGGGGAGGGGGAGGGGGAGGGGGAGGGGGAGGGGAGGGGAGGAGGGGGAGGGGGAGGGGGAGGGGGAGGAGGAGGAGGAGGAGGAGGAGGAGGAGGAGGAGGAGGAGGAGGAAGGAGGTGGAAGAAAGCAACAAATCTAAGAATACTACTCAAGTACATCAAATTACCTGGCCATGTATATCTCCACACACTGTCACTGGAGTTGATACCGGCTGAACGTTGCATTCTTCTAACTGCAGGTCACACACCAAGTCACATAATTTCTAGGAGATGAAAAGTAGAGAAATATTTTTATTTGGAAGGCATGAAGTACATACAGGAGGAGCATGTGTAGTACACACATACAGAGGCATATATATCAAGGTAGACCAAATGCTCCAGACTCTGATATCGACGATTATTCCAACTGACTCACTGAATGCCTCTATGCAGAGACTGAAGTACATCGTACAGGTGAGGCAATACACTTTGCATGATTGCTAATCTCATCATGTGCACTAACTTCAAGAAAAAAGCGGACAGATTAGATTAGCTGAAAGTTAAGTCCTTATGTTTTTATATTTTACAATGATTTTCAACATTTTTGTTTATAGTTTATATAAAATTTGACTTATTTTCTTTCTACTCATCATTTTTAAGACTAGATAACTTGTGCATGTGGCAAGGATTACCATCTGTGTATAGGGAAGATTGACAAATATTGTCAATTTTACTAAAGAATTCCCCACACCAGATGGGTAGGATGAGAGAAGCCAGTTAAAGAAAAGTCAATTTCCCAGAGACTCTCTATAGACATTAAGTTCTCAAATATATTGATGAGATTGGAAAACAAAAAGTTAAGCTCAAAGTAAAGTAGCAATGGCTTCTTACAAGGAGCTTTCAAGGCTGAAAGGGGTGCTCAAAATGTACATGATAAACCGCCGAGTTGCCAATTGGCGTTTGATTAATTATACAATGTCTACTTCCCAATCTTCTATCAGATTTTACTTGAACTTAACCTGATATGATCCTCTCATTTTTAATTTCATACCTTTGTATTGGGCAACCTGATGCCCGAGTTGAGCGGACTTTTCCTTTTGTTTCATCTCCGTACAACAGAATTTACTACAATTAATGCTTAGGCCTATCCTAATTTGTGCATTGCAATAACAAATAAAACATGCAGTTGGTGCATCAATTGAACAGTTAATAATACTTTCAAATAGACCTCTATTCTAAACATCCTGACCATTTGTCCTTTCACATTTTCATTCTATCTGAATTTTGAAACCTGTGCCTGATTTTGAGGGGACTGGCAGGCATTTTACTTAATAGTAGTAGCAGCACACGGACATGTCATTGATTAGACCGAAAGCTTCAGTCTCTATACCGTCGGTTGTTCCACTGAGACTACGTCTGGCTCCACTAGACCTCCGGTTATAGAGACTGAACGATCGCCTATGCCAGCCTATGTTGAAGATATCACGGCTAGATTTTAGCCGTTAGGCCCCTCCCACAAACATGAACAAACTTGCCACGGCCGTATTGTTATGCCCCCAAAATCCCCCAAAATGTCATTTTACCTCGTGCATATCCAATTTTACATTAGGCCTAGGCTATAATACATCGGTTCCACTTACTAACTTGATTGAAATAATCCGTTTAATGGTCCCTTTTAAGGAAATTATGGGTCAAAATCGACATCCATGTTGAAAATCTTGCAAGCCGTGTTTTAAACTCTCGCTGCCGTCAATCTCATCCCTTCTAGTCTACGCCGAAGGCAAAAATGATTATGAAGCAAAAACTGTGATAACGCCATTACGAACGTGTAGATGGCGCACAGTTTTTCCTTCATAATCATTTTGCCTTCGGCGTAGAGTAGAAGGGATGAGATTGACGGCAGCAAGAGTTTAACACGGCTTGCAAGATTTTCAACATGGATGTCGATTTTGACCCATAATTTCCTTAAAAGGGACCATTAAACGGATTATTTCAATCAAGTTAGTAAGTGGAACCGATGTATTATAGCCTAGGCCTAATGTAAAATTGGATATGCACGAGGTAAAATGACATTTTGGGGGATTTTGGGGGCATAACAATACGGCCGTGGCAAGTTTGTTCATGTTTGTGGGAGGGGCCTAACGGCTAAAATCTAGCCGTGATATCTTCAACATGGGCTGGCATAGGCGATCGTTCTGTCTCTATAACCGGAGGTCTAGTGGAGCCAGACGTAGTCTCAGTGGAACAACCGACGGTATAGAGACTGAAGCTTTCGGTCTAGTCATTGATCAGGTTCTTGATTTAGCAATTTAGCGGCGACTCGAGTCCAAGATTGAAACATTTTCAATGTGATATTTACTCACGACAGTTCTGTTGTAAAAGAATATTTACAAGTTGCTTGTGATGCTCAAATGACATTATGTATTGAATGTCTCAATCTTAAACTTTACCTTTCGTCCTACATCAACTCAATCGCCACTGCACTGCACTGCACTGCACTGCACTATCGCATTATCAAGGCAGTTGCTGAGCTGAGCTGATCGCTGAGCGGCGCACAGCGTTAGTGTAACTGTAAGTGCCAATGCATGAAAACCACGGCTTCGCAAACCACGGAAAAGATTTGTGGTTTATATTTAAAATAACACAAATGATAAATATTTAGCTAGTTTCTAAGAGTGTCCGTACATACCTTCAAGTCATTTTCTGGAAGATATTTGCACTGCTTCGCAATCTCTATCCATCTATCGAGGTTCGATGTTTCTGCCATTTTGAATGAATCTGTGAGTCATGAGCTAAGAACCGGAAGTTGATGATTCTTGTTATGTATGCGCTACATGCACGGTGGCTGCATCGAGGGGATGGGAGCCAAAGGAGGGCTAGGGGTGGCGGTGGTGGTGGTGGTGGGGGGGGGGGGGGGGGGGGGTATTTACGTCATAGCCATTCAGTTAGAACAAGAAGTGAAAGAAATAAATAAATAAAAGAAGAAAAGGAGATTGAAAAAAAAGAGAGAGAGGGAGATTAAAACATTTAATTAAAACAAATATGTACATACTGCAGATCCTCCGGGCCCCCCCCCCCCCCGAAAAAAAAAAAAAATTGAGAGAGAACCATAACATATTGAACTTTGCAAGAATCAAATGACAAATGAATGACAAATGAATGTCAAGGTAATGTCAAGAATTTTATCAATTGCCTGTCAATCTACCCCCTTTCTTTCATCATCGTCGTCATCATCATCATTGTCATCATCATCATCATCATCTTCATCATCATCATACTGACATTTCTGGATTGAATTTAATCTATAAGTTATGTGCATGAAATCTAAATTTCGATCAGGAACTTCAATTGCCTGTCAATCTACCCCCTTTCTTTCATCATCATCGTCATCATCATCGTCATCATCATCATCATCATCATATCGACATTTCTGGATTGAATTTAATCTATAAGTAATGTGCATGAAATCTAAATTTCGATAAGGAATGTATGTGGATATAATAAATCAGATGTGCATAATTACTATACACCATCATTGCAGTCACTTTTTTTAATACCGTTTACATTTAAGCTGAAAAACACATATAAGCAAATGAATACATCTGAAGACATCGTGTACTTATAAAATATTTATTCAAAACTTTCCCTCATTTCATTTCCTTTCCTTATATACAACATACATAAATAATAAACATGCAAAGTAAAAGGAGACTTCGCATAGCAGCACGTAATATACACGTTTTTATCAATTAACAAACAAGTATAAACATGATGACTTTTAAAAGTACTTTGATCTATAAAAACATCCAGGTCATATATATGTGAATGATTCAAAACCAAATAATTAAATAAAACAGAAAAAAAAGAAGGAAAAAAAAAGAACATAGGTAAACATGATACATGAATTGGCCACTAAACGATAGTTAGATATCTTGATCAAACCTGATCACATAAATGTGTTGGTCCTCTGCATTTAATGTGGTAAGAGCATTGGTTATTTGATTTAGTGGTCACACCACTAAATCATCGCAAGCTAGAAGTAAACAAATATATACCGGTAGTACATGTAGTTATCATTATCAGAAGAGGATGACTGAGCCTTTAGTAAAATTGTGTTTTTGAAGAAATCTTTGCAGAAAAAAAACAATTGCAATAACTACAATCTGTGTTTTGATAGTTTACAAAATAAATATAGGATATAGGTTGCATATATGTTCTGACAGGCAAATGGTTCTATCTGTACAATCTATAAATACTTTTCTATGGTATTTGAATACCTGATAAACAGAATATTGTATTTCACCATTGGGCATACAACCTGAACTGTCATTATATCTCCCAAACCTAGGCCTAGCTGTCTCATAAAACTTGATATAATACCTTAGATTAATATAGCACCATTATCCATTCTAATTAAATGCTCAAGGCGCTTCAAAATATTAGGGAACACATTACATCATGACAAAGGAATCGTGTACATTTACATATACATAAGAAAGGAAACAATACAAAAATGAAAGCATGTATAAACACAAAATTGAACAAATGGGGTTTAAGGTTGCTCTTAAAAGACGTTGAAGAATCAGAGTTCTTCAGCTCCTATCAATATTAAATGCTAAATTTCTATGACAAATTTGCTCTCAGCCAATCAAATGCCACGATTTCAGTAGCTTATAGCATTTATTTGATAACAACTTTTGTGAAACAGGGCCTAGAACCTGAGCCATTAATGAAGATAAAGAGACCTACAAGAATCATAATACACATACATAGGTACATACAAGATACAAGATATTTTATTTGGTCTTTACAAACATGATAGTTACATAGAAACTTGGTTTCCACTGGCGTTACAATAATAATCAAGAAAATACATAATTACAAGAAATGAATATATCACGTTTATAGAAATAGAGGAAATAAGGAACAAATACATATGCAAAAGATAATGCATGGTTTCCCAAAATTCAGGAATCATTAAAAATAGAGAATCTCTGTTCTTGCCTTTATAAAGAATTTAGAAGTATACAACGCCACCCTTTATAGAAAGTAATCCACGAAGGATTGAATCTGGTTTCAAAGTGGACGTAATATTCAAATTGTGTTTTTGAAGAAATCTTTGCAGAACAAATGTCCAAGTGCGATAACTACCATCTGTTTTTTGATAGTTTACAAAATAAATATAGGATATTGGATGCATACCCTTTATAGAAAGTACTTCTATTTATGGCTAAAATCCACGAAAAATTAAACCTGGTTTCAAAGTGGATGTAATATTCAAGATATGGAATTGTCAGAGCTGTGCTGCCAAGGTGGAGTATGCAGTTAGACATGTATGAAAGGAAGTTGGTTGATAGAAGGATGTTGGTTGATGAAAGGATGTGTGCGTTTGTGCATCTGTGCGTCTGTGTGTGATGATGTATGTAGTCTGTTTGTTTATTTTAAATCTTTAAATGTTTTTCACTTTTTCTTTTTTTGGGATACCATGTTACAAGCATTTTGCGTTTCGGTATTCCTAACCATACCGGGTAATTTTATTTACTGTTTTGAATTGATATACTGTTATTGTTTTCATTGATATTATTTAATGGTTGAATCAATGAATACAAATACAAAATACAAGAACACTTGTTGAGGTGTCGCCGAGTGACTTTGTCCTCCGCACCCTGGACCTTAAACAGAAAGTACTGTTCGCCTCGGAGGAAAAGGGAGCAGCAATCTGCTATGGCAGCACGCAGGTCCACAAGATGGCATGGAGAGCAATCTCCACCGGTCTCCAGGATGCTGTTATCCAGCATGAGCTCAGATCAACTCTGCAGCAAGATGTCTAGGATGAGGAGCTCCTGGAGGTATTGACTACTGCAGTTGCCCATGAGAGCGAGTGGCAACAAAAGTTAAAACCCCACCAAGCTTGAGTTGCTGCTGCTGTCATCACAGAACCGACACAACCGACACATTCTGACCCTTAACAAACAAGTAAGCCAGAGACATTGGACTTGAAAGAATTGACAAATAGCATACAACAGATTGTCAAGGCGTAGCTCAGTGCGCTGATGGCTCAACAGAGAGGACCAAGAGCTGGTAGGAGAGAGAGGGGCAGCGAGGCATGCCAGCAGCAAGGACAAGGGGAGAGCTGTCGCCACTGTTTTTGCTGTGGAAGCTCCGAACACTATGCCAGGGGCTGCCACTTAAGGAGGCAGGGAAACGGGGTAGGGTTACTCGGGAGGGACAACCAGTAACCTCAGACCCGTCACAGTCCCTACCTACCATCAACACGACAACAATCAATCCCAAGACGAGGACGAGGATGGTGAAACTGGTAGGAAAGCAATGCATTGTATCTCTGGTCCTGAATGATACTCCTGTGGAAGTCTTGTGGGACACAGAGGGGCACAAGTCTCGATAATATCATCAGATTAGCTGCGACGGTGCATACCAAAAGCCCAAGTACTACCGATTTCAGCTAACCTGGATGGAGAAGAGTTTGCGTCTGCGTGACTTCATTACTATACTACTAAATGAACCATTTTTTCTGTTAACTGTCGGCATATGGTTAAGTGTATGTGTGTGTCTGTGTGTTAGGGTGTATATGTGTCTGTGTGTGACCTCGCCTGACCAAGGCGAGATTCTTGAGATTCAAGGATAAAGTAAAAATCCAGTAGAATGCTAAACAACTAAAGGGATCTAAAATTGTAATCTTGGATGAGTTGCCACTCCTAATAAGGAAGGAAAGAAGTGCCCAGATGCCGGCGTTAAAGGTAGCGAGACACGTGGGAATTTTTTTTTTTTGCCTCGCAGACCCTTATCATTTCTCCTAACAGATCCTCCGTGCTCAGGACAGGTTCCGCCAGGGAGGGCCAAATATTTGTATGTAAGATATATAGAATTGTCATTCATTTGCATTATTTTGTACAAACATGGCTTGACCTAAATGGCTAGATTACTTTTCTAGCGATGATTTGTGAACCATGATAGTAATTGCCCGTAACGTATATGTATAGCTTTTGATGTAATTGTGTGTGTGTGTATGAATGAATATGTGTAAATGTGTAAATGAATATGTTATGGTAAAATAATCTTTCCATTAATATATAGTTTTCTCTCTGGTGGGGACCTTCAGCTTCCCCTCTCCCAGAAATCCTACCCCATCAGCATGATGACGACGGAATAAGCGTAAATGCGAACCCTGTCGACGCGTGGTATGAATATACTAATGACACTGGAACCCAAACGTCAGACCCTGAGGACCACATCGCCAAATTAATGGACAGATGCCGTATTTCTATCAAACAAATCCCGGACTCAACACGCACTGAGGCCTGCAGCAAGACTCAGGTCTACTTTCACACGTTAAAAAGTAGAGAAAGTGTTTCAATGGTTATTTTGGGTGTGGCCTGTGTTACCATCCTGGAAAACTTGTAGACAGAACTGTGAAGTATCCTATTGATGTGTGTGATTATGAAGATAGGGATAATGACATGCAGGATGATATGGCTCAATCCATGCAGGAAGGAAGAACGATGAGAGGATTCAAGGGTTCAAGTGCCTTTAGTAACTTAGATTATTTTCCAATTGCTTGGGGATTCCCTGCAGATTTTATGCATTGTTTACTGTTGGAAGTTGTAAGACAAATAGCAGACTTATGGTTTTCATCACCAGCTGGCGATCCATACTATATCGGGCCTCCCAGAATACTGTCTTTGTTAGATGAACGACTCAAGTCAATTAAATCTCCTAGCTTTGTTGCCAGAGCCTCATGTCCAATGTCAGAGCGAAAATTTTGGAAGGCCACTGAATGGTACATGTGGTTGCTTTTTTATAGTTTA